ACATCACCGAAATTGCGAAAATTGGTCAGAAGATAAATTTAGTTACTGTGCACCAAAATCAGTATTCAGAATTACTCAACCGTGAAATTTATGAAGTCACGTAGGGAAAATGCTAAAAAGCCCAAAACACGTGCAATTTGATAACGACGATTTTTCAACAAATCTTGTTGCATTATTTGATGCATATGAGATATGCACGTCGTTTTTCAATATTAAGAGACATTATGAATTTCTTGCGATTTTGGCACAGTTTACGGAAGTTCATTGGGGTCTTGTTTTCAAATTGCCTAATTAATGAAAAAGGCAACAACAGGTAACTAAGAAGTTTTTTTGTAAATTTTCCCCTATAAAACTTTTTACCCGTTGTCAGAGAGGGCCTGGAATGGTTTTCAATCAATGGTGACGATGACGTTAACGCGAAACAGACTCATTTTACGCACGGGATATTCGTCCTGCCATCTCTTAAATCGGCACCTTACTACCACAAAACAGCCTTTTATACAGTAGACGATTATTATCATTACATTCTTACGAAATTTGAAAGAAAACAATACCGCAATTTGGTTTTTTGAGCCAGTCAACTTGCTATTGTATTCCTCTCACTGGCACATGCGCGCGCCGATTGACGTATTTTTTTTTGCCAAATACAGCCAGGGTTTGAAAGATAACACTCTGAGAAAATCTCATGCAAAGGAGAAATAAGGCTCTGACAGATGCACGGGAGAGACATTGAAGATAATAAGAGTTTTCGATTTTAACTTTTAGGGGGTATCGTCATTTGAGCTTCAATAGCTCATGAATTTTTAGACAAAATCAAAGGGGAATTTGGTTATATCTCTTTGAATCTTTTTTAAAAGTTAGATAGGAAAACTAAAACATAATTTAAGAAAAACAAATTTAATTCACCTCAAAAGTTTACCCTGCGTTTCTTTTTCCTTTCAGTATATAATGGTGATAACCAATTTGTGCCATAAAATGCCATTTGTTCCAAAAGCCTATTAAAATATATGCATGATTTTTACAAATATCAAAAAAAAAAAAGAAAAAAAAACAGGCATTCCGAGAGTAATGTCCCCGACCGGGTTACCCATTTCTCTCTATGGTGTCATATTATTACAGCCATCTGTATAAGAAATTGTTACTTAAATGTGGACATTTCAGTTATTATTTGAATATGAATGAAATATATTGGATTTTCCTTACAAAGAAAGACTCGTGACGTCATTGAATGCCATTTGACACACACAAATGCTCTGATCAGAACAGCATTTTTGACATTGTTAAACAATTATTTTATAACAGAAAAAATCAAACTTGATCTATCGTTGTCACTGTGAAGGTATCCAGCAAGTTTCAGGTCATTATAATCTCGTTGAGAACATTAATTCAAGTAGTGCATCAAAACATAAATTTAGTGTATCACGAACCCTATTGTAAACCCAATTGTAAAAAAATAAAATAAAATAAAAATACCATGATTTATCAAAAATCAATGAAGCAAAATTAAATGCAACTTGACCTAAAACTTATCAAGGTAAAAGATATCCAGCAAGTTTCAAATCATGACAATCTCGTTTAGAACATTACTCTAGGGCATCACGAGATAAATTTAGTTCATTACAAACCCTCTTATGAACCAAAATATAAAAGTAAAAGAAAATAAAAATACTCTATCAAAAATCAATTAAGCAGAACGAAATGCAAACTTGATCTGTAACTAATAAAGGTGAAGTGCCCTGCTGAAAATCAGCTCAATATCTTTAAGCGTTTAGGAGAAAAGTGCGAAAACCCTGAAAAATTGAAAAGGTCGTAATTCCTTAAAAAATCATTGAAGCGAAACTGTATTCAAACTTGATCTGTAACTCATCAAGATACACCCACGTACCAAACGGAGCATTGTGTTTTTGCGTTGCTCTATTATGACGTCACAATGAAAAAGCTTTCAGGCTCGTTAATGCTCGTTTTACTGCTTCAAACATCAGTGCATTGGCCAATCAAAACGTGTTTCACAAATCAATTGCGTTAGAAGAAACATTTTAATTAAATGTAGTTAAACGGTTTCCGCAACTATACAGTACTTAAATTAATTACACATTAGTGCTAAATTTCAAAACCACTGGATTCTTGGGTAATGCTTAAACTGCCTTGCGTGTAAACAGTTAAATGTACATACCCCGAGCCTGCTTTAAATAAGTTTCAGCAGTGAGTTATCGTTCATAACACCGACCTCTAGCGGCAGTTGAAAGTCCTAGGATATAGCGATAACGAACAGTATTCAATCTCAAAGTTCACAAAACAATACAAAATAAGAGCAGAGCAAACACGGACCTCCAAAACATCAGAGGTGGGATTAGGTGCCATGGAGAGGTAAGCAGCCCCTGCATGGTAACAAACCATTTTTGCATGTTGACTAAGAAGGCAGTACTTGACTTCATTAAGGGAGTAAGCAATTTCTGCTAAATGTGAAAGTAATTTTTTGGGGCTTCTGACGTTTCCCGTTACGGCGTTCAGTATTTGGGACGTCAAAGCTAAACGTTTATCTAAAACTTTTGATCCCTTGTCCATACTGTGGTATTTTGTATACGCAAAATACAAAAGAATGTAAATTTTATTGAAGAAAAAACAATATTGTTTAGTTATGAGGAACCCATAATACGAGTGTCTATCCAAAATTTCATGGAGTTTCTTTCAAAATTATCGTGACTTAAAAAAAACAAGCCTTAGATCTAGACCTATTTTTTTAATTGAGCCGATAAGCAGCAATACTGGAGAATTTCACTTCTTTTTTTTATTACCCTAATGGTCATAAGGGATTTCTGGAAAATTGTTAAATCCTGCGGAGATTTCGAAGTAAGGTCAAGTTAGGTATGTGAGATCACTTTAAAGGAGCATTTCGTCCTCACCTGCTGCAGATAACTGGGCTTTCACTTCATTTCTATTCCGAAGAATAACCTAAATAACCTAGGTCTTCTCTCGCACCTTCTAATCTTTATTTTATAATGATTTTCAAAATATTCACATTCTTTCTATGGAATGTTTCGATTTTAGATGTAACGTAAAACAAAGTACATGTGCACTGGTGGTCCACGTCAATTAACGCTTAATTTGTGAACGAGAAAAAAAAAGACCTTCCAAAATGCAGTGCCACTTTTAATCAAGCTTCATGGAGGTTCTTTTTTCCTTAAATTTCTCACACCAATGGAAATTCGATTGCTTAAATCATTTTGAAGCCTGTATCAGTATTTTACTTTTGCGTTTAAATCAGTGTTGTAGTACGGGGTATTCCCGAAATTTTAGCAAAACTTGATCGAATTTCCACAGTGTCTAACAATGTTACCATTAACAAGAAATCAAAACATCATCAATATTATTAAAAAATAAATACCAATATAACCAGGTAAACTCATATAGTCTTTAGAGAATATTCAGAATATGCTTTTACCTCATTTTTTGAATTAAGGTACTTAACACAAACAAAAAATGGATGCACAAATTAATATACTTTTTTTGACTGATCATGATTTGAAATGACATAAGTAGTTAATCTGTAAAATACACATGTATAAAGAAATCGTAGGATTTCCTTAGAGCTTAGATATCATGAGACTTTGTTTAAATTTCTATTTCATTCCATACAAAGAAGAAGGTACAGTTTCAATACATATTGAGCCCTATATTTTTCTTAAATATGAAAGTGATATAAAAAATAAAAATTCATTCTTCCTGAGTCATAAGAATTCCCTGCAGTAAGAATACAGAAATCGTTTTTCTCATATGACCTCCTAAATGATAATTGTGACGCCATAAACTTGTGCATTTTCCCGTATTTTCTTAAAAAGTTGCAGAAGACATCAATTTTCAGTGGTATTTTCTTTCAGAAAACATACTCTGCCACCGTCGCCCGGGAAGATTTTAAGAAATGTGATTTTTCATAGCATTTTACATAATATATCTAAAAATTAAAGTGGGCGACGGTGGCAGACACTATTTTCTAAAGGAAAATTAGCACAGAAATGAGTCATTTTGGGGCTTTTCTGCATTAAACTTAAAAATGTACCAAAATAATGACGTCGTATTTCCAGAAATGTCCTCTTTTATGCCATATTTTTTAATGATTTATCATATTCATCTTCTCAACTATTGTTGAAGCCAATTTCATAACTGTTTAAGAACTTTAAATTTTGAGGGCACAATAAAGCTCAAACTGTACCCTCTTCTTATTTTGTACAAATGTTTAACCTTATGACAAGTTCTTATACAATTCTTCCGCTATGTGTGATAAATGTTAATCAAGTTACCAATTTAAGTGTAAATCTTTGAGAAATATTGCTGATTTATAAAAACAAATCGTGTTATCCATCCTTAACAATTAAATTTAAAACAATAATGAACGAGTACATATCTCCCTTGCATTTCAAACCATCCATTTCTATATTAAATGAACTTTACTATCAGTAATATTCAAATACTTATTGTTGTAATTATACTTAAAAAAATTCTAAAAGTGATTTTTTTTGTTATTTTCAATCATTGTCACTAATAGATAAGTAAAATATGTAGACTTTTCCAAACTTCTGAATCAATCTTCGTATGTATACTATCTATAAATCGGATGTGTACAACGGCACTATGTTTCAAAGCTTCTGTGAAATTTCATTAAATTTCATTCAGTGTTATAAAAGATGTTGTGGATTAGAGATGGGTTCCCCAAATCTTAACAGACTGACGGACAGAAAGACGAATGGACGGGAATCGTGATGCTATTCAAGGGATATAATTTAAAATATAATCAAATGTATCATTTTCATATTTAGACCAATTAAACATTCAGTCATTCTTGTTCTAAAATCGATCTTCTAGAGATAGTGAAATACGTAACAATCAGCCAATCACTGGTACGCAATGCATTGAGGCTTTTATATTTTAACCAGCTAGGTTGAAGATTAGCTCGCAATTTCTTTACAGAAACCGTACAACTAGTGTAATACACAGACAACAGTATGAGCAGTCTTTGGGGTGTCTTTTTAATTGTTGCCTGCTTTACAGTGCCTCTCGCTGCCATGTTCTCTCGGATATATGCCAGAAACATAGACTTTGATGATAAAAAGTCGGAACAAGAACACTTAAGAGAGTATTTTATATCGTTCAAAGACTGCGCTGAGAAGTGTCGGGAAGATTGTAGGGTGTTTGGTTATAATGATAGATTGAAGAAGTGCCGGCTCCACAGAAAACTCAACATGTCGTCAGCTACAAAGGAGGAGGGCTGGAGATACTTTGATGGTATGTATTATCTTTTATATATATTGTTTTGGGAAATGAAAATGATAATATACACCACTGGGTGTGTTAGGAATCACTGTAGTTAGGAGGGTATGTCAGGGCATCACCAATCGTGGGAACCATGGGATAATTTGCATAACGGGCGAACCCGTTATGCTAAAATTATCCCATGTTTCCCACTTATGTTGATGTCCCTGACATACCCTCCTAACTAGACAGTGATTCCTTATATTTCCATTTCATTACGAAATAAAATTGTAGATTTAGACTTAAAAAATGAGGACTCCCATGTCGATTTCAATAGTCCTCACGAGAAGTCGCACGAGATTTACATACATATTTGGCCTCCTTAGCATCAAGCACAGGAACAGATGCGCACGAGATTTGCATGCGTATTAGGCCTTCTTAGCTCCTGACCTATCGACTTGACTAATTTACATTCCGGTAGAATTATCAAGAAATCAACTCCGCTAACTTTCAAAGGGTTATCACAGAGAAAAAAAATAAGAAATGGAAATATAGTGGGATAGCTCTTTTATCAAACCCGCGACAGAGAACTATTCCCCCAAATGGCTTGCCCGAGGGGATAAGCGTTTTATTGTACTGATGTATAATATAATTTTTAGGTTTTAATTTTTTAGGAGTATGATAATACTGCAAAAATAATCTGAAAACCTGATGACGTCACATTGCTACTGAAGTCATTATGACATCATCAATCCATAGATTTATTGCTTGAAATCAAAATTGGAGGCAAAAATTGCATGAAAATTTTCCGAGGGTGGATAGCAAAAACTATACCCCGGGGTATAGCTTTGCTATACGTGAACTATTAAAGATAGCTATTTTACCTTCTGAACTTTATATAGGAAACATTTTAACAGAAGTATAATAACAAACAGTATTCACACTCCAAACACCATTCAAACAATACAGATAAAAAGCAGATCAAATTATGACCTCTAAATCAGAAGTGGGATCAGGTGCAACGGAAGGGTTAGCAATCCTGGCGATCGGGCTCCTTTACATCAAAGAAATAACGGTGAGACCGTTTAGATTTTATGTGTAATTATTGGCTTTTATAAATCCCTGAAAGTGCAAGAAAGGGATCTTCGGCTATAGTTGTATAGGTGGAAAAATTGTCTTACAGAAAGTATTTCCTCATCAAAATGAAAAAATATCAATATACTGTATGATTCGTTCATGTCTCAGATTAAAGCATTACACCTATTAATTCATATTTGAATTCTAATTACTCTGCTTGAAAATGATATTTGGTTTTTGGGTTTGCATTTATTTTGTTTTATATATAGATTTGCTTTTTGTTCACATGAGTATTGGATAATAATTTAATTTTACTTGTAACACGTTATTTGATAGGATAAAAGATTGTATCCATTTTGTATAACATTACTTACCTGCGTCACAATGTGTTCCCTAACAAAAAAATACTATAGTAAACTATAGTTAACTATGGTTTACTATAGTTAACTATAGTACCAAAGTTATAACTTTGGAACTTTGATTTACTATGGTGAAAACTTTGGAACTTTGATTTACTATGGTGAAAACTTTGGAACTTTGTTTTACTTTAGTAAAAACTTTGGAACTTTGATTTACTATAGTAAAAACTTTGGAACGTTGATTTACTATGGTGAAAACTTTGGAACTTTAATTTACTATAGTAAAAACTTTGGAACCTTAATTTACTATGGTGAAATCTTGGGAACTTTGATTTACTATAGAGAAAACATTGGAACTTTGATTAAGCACTATAAACTCTTAAGATTATGGTTTTGCTTCCCATTCTGTACATTATATAAACTTCATTGAAGCTTCAGATTTTTTTTCTTCAAAAACGCAAATCGTCCCCCAAATAGAACAAAGAAACAAGAAATTATTTTAATGGAAAAATAGTCTCTTTCACCAATAAATAAGCATTATGTATTTAAATATATTGTTATTTTTAATTATGAATATTTATTAATAATTAAAATATTTAAGTTCATAAAGTAATTACAAAATAAACATCGGAACTTTAATTTACTATAGTAAAAACTTTGGAACTTTGAAAAAACTATGGTATAAACTTTGGAACTTTGATTTACTATCGTAAAACTTTAGAACTTTGATTTACTATGGCGAAAACTTTGGAACTTTGATTTACTATTGCAAAAACTTTGGAACTTTGATTTACTATGGTGAAAACTTTGGAACTTTGATTTACTATGGCGAAAACCTTGGAACTTTGATTTATTACGGTGAAAACTTTGGAACTTTGATTTACTATAGTAAAAACTTTGGAACTTTGATTTACTATGGTGAAAACTTTGGAACTTTGATTTACTATGGTAAAAACTTTGGAACCTTGATTTACTATGGTAAAAACTTTGGAACTTTGATTTACTATGTTGAAAACGTGGGAACTTTGATTTACTATTGTAAACTATAGTTAACTATAGTTTACTATAGTATTTTTTTGTTAGGGTTACGTCAAAAAACGTATTACTCCGCTTGACGTTACTTTTAAAATTTAATCAATGTGAAGCCTTATTCTTGGGGAAAAAATGTCTCATTCTCTGCACTGAAGTTAATTTATAAGGAATGAAGCTTATTTCAACTTATATTATACGATATAAAAAAACTTGGGGCAGTTTACGCTTTTTTATAGACCGCTTCGCGGTTTATAAAGCGTAAATTGCCCCAAGTTATGTTATATCGTATAATATAAGTTGAAATAAGCTACATTCCTTAAATAATATTTTGAACTATAAACTTTTAAAAAGTATATTTAATCAAAGCATAAGTCAGTGCAAATCTTTAGACGGAGACTTTGATGTGAATATTTTTTTTTTTCATTTTTTCCTAAAGATATTATTTATTGAAATTATTAACGTTGAATAAACACTTTAATTCACGTACTACTTTGTGAATGTTAATGTATAGTACACGTATTACTTTGTGAATATAAATCCAGCTTTTGTTTGCTTATTTTTTCTCTAATTTGGATGAATTCCAAAACTAAAGGATAAAATCTTAAAATTGACAAAATGTTTTCAATTAATACGGGAAAAGAATATCCAAAACAGTGATAAAACATTGCAAAGCTTTTGTTTGCTTATAATGGCAACTTTCTTTTGCTTCCGTGAATTCAATGCTTGTTTAAGAAAAAAATCATTGAGTGACATTAAATGCTCATGTCAGAAAAAAACATTGATGACTATTCGATTGTATGTTAGGCAGTATTTATGGTAAAGTTTAAATAATCATGGCTAGTTAAAGTATCTTATAAAGGTAATTATTATTCTGTCACCACTTGAAAAGCGGAGGGGGATATAGTGATCGGGATTTCTGTCCGTCTGTCTAGCTGTCCGTCCGTCTGTATTAATTCTTTCTTGAGCATCCATCTTTTATCATTAACTACTTTTATATCACTGAATGAAATTTAATGAAACTTTCACAGAATCTTTGTTATATAATGATATTGTGCACATTACTATTTACCCTTTGATCGGACATACATTTCGGGTTTACTATAGCAAACATTGACACTGCCATTCTTGATATTGAAGGGTATTACTCTCTTATCCGAAACTCCTCCTATACCACAGGATAAATAAAATGATATGTTCACATATTTTTTATTATAAAATGCCATTCTGCACTTCCTATTTTACTTCCTAAAATTGACACTTTTCGTGTCTCCAAGAGCAAAGCATGGACTTCACCATTATAATCAAATGGGGGAGGGGGCGATATCATCTAGTGATCTCACAGTACCTCTAGCTGTAGTACTGCTCAGCAAATCATTTCAAATTTTACTCGGATTTTTCAAAAAAAAAACAAAAACAAAACATTGTTTAAGAATAGCAAAACAAACTATTCACAATAGGTTTTGTTTCAATTTTCAAAGGATGCTTATTTGATCATAATATGTTTGTGTACCTCTATCTTGTAATGTGAGATACAGAATATATGAAATATATATACAAAATAAAATCATCTATTGTTTTTTTCTCGTTTTAGTTCTCGCCACAGACTGTCAGGATATTCTTTATCAAGGTCTCAATAATAGCGGCGTGTACGACATCTACCCTTATGGGATCAGTTCTATTCCAGTCAAGGTGTTCTGTGACATGGATACAATGGGAGGGGGATGGACGGTGTGTTATTTATTTATACAGCTTTATAAATATTGTATACACTACACTTGTAATTTGATTAAGTTTTGATGTTCCCGAGAGATGGGTATTTTCTATCAACCAGTACTTTGTTTGTAATTTGACTTATTAATCTGGGGAGTTTAGTTTCAAACTGTAAAATAAATAAGATTGGATTTGTTATTCGGGAGAGAGAGGGTATTTTTATATAGTATACCCCTGTAATTTAATTGAGATTTAGTTTGTTAATTTGGCAATTAAATATGCAGATTTATTTAAATTTATGTTTGATGTTCTTCAGGGTAGAAATATATAATAAATCAATTAATTTCTTACAAAGGGATTAGGTAAGAGAACAGAAACATTTTCCACTTTAAAGTTCTAATGCAAATGTATCTTAATTTTCAAAATAATTCAACTGTTATTTATCTTTTCAAGACAATTCAAAAACGGATGGATGGATCCGTGACCTTTGACAGTAACTGGATAAATTATAAAAATGGGTTTGGTTCATCGGAAGCGGAAGTCTGGATTGGTAAATAGTGATCTTTGATCACATTTCAAATAAAACAAACATTTTTTTTAAATAAAATCTTTAAAAATTGTTGCTTATGAAGGATTAAATTTTAAAATTACTAGTAGTTAATACGTATTGAGATTTACCGGAGATTTCTGTTGTGGTTGTTGTTGATTTCCTAAATATGATTTTGTAGTTCGCTAATTTTTCAAACAACTAAGATACGAATTTGATATATTTAACAGGGATATATAAATAGTGACTTAAGGGTCAATGATACTCTGATAATAGAATTAACTTTTAAGAGGCCGTGTCAGTAACCATTGAGATTTACATGGAAAGTCAAAAATTTTGAATTGGGCAAAAACCACCCTAAAATATTTGAACAACAACAAAAAACACATTTAAGACAAATTTTACAAATTTATTCATCATCATTGGTTTCCATGGCAACAAATGTGATTTGCATAGTAAATTCTCAATGAAACATTGTAAAATAATACAAATTTAGACATATTTAAATGCAGAGGAGGGAACAATTGGAAGGTCTAAATTTGTTTTCTTATACTGAAATAATGAAAGATGCATCAGAAGAAAATATCTGCATGTCTGTAAGTATTTTCAAAAATTTTGATATGGTTGCTATGGCAACCGAAAAATGACAAGGTTTTCATGATGGGAATATCCATGGAAAATTAAGTTTTTTCAAAAGTCGAATACTTAAAAACGCAACAACCGTAGATATTGTATGTCATACAAAGTTAAAGATATATCCCAATACTATGAAATAATAAAATAAAAATTGGTAGTCGGATGTCCCAATTTTTTTTTTCAGAAATCAAAATTTGCATTTTTTCAAAACACTTTCAATGGATTTTCGCAAGTTTTGGCAATTTTTTTTTTAATATTACAACAGATATTTAATAGTTAGATGCCATATCTACAGAAACATAGTACTTTAGAAAAAACTCCATAAAATGTACGACTTTTTTACAAAACAATAGGAAAAGTAATCTCCATAGCAACGGAATTTATACCCTAGCAACTGACTTGACTAGGATCGGCAAAACATGAAACATACACCCAGGAAATTAAAGCCTCTCAAGTGGAATATTTGGGTCATGGCATCCTGATCAACTGTCAACCCTGTTGTACTTACCCCATCATATAAGTAATAATAAGTACCATTGCTCTACAATGTCTAATAGTTATACAATATAGTCAGAATGTGGACCAAATACGCAAAAACTTGACCATATATGACATAACAAAAGCTGAAGTTATATGTCAAAATGACACAATGTTCAACCTAAAGGGACTCCAATGCTGTCTACTGGCTAATTTACATTGCTGTACCATGTTTATTATTCAAGTTATAAACCTAAAAACAACTAGAACTGTCCAAATGGGACAAAATACCCCCCCCCCGCTGGGTTTTTCAAAAGTGCTTAATCATGAATATTTTATGGATCGAAGAGAAGAGAGAAAAGCTAAAACATTTTAGTGCAATTGTAATTGCTCATTAATTTTTTTTATAAATGAAACGAAGGTGCAGCTAAAAATAGACTAAATGTATGGATCACACATGAATTATGAATTTTTTTTGTCAGTGACCTTGAACTTGCATAAATGACCTTGGTTTAAAGTCATGACAAGTTCTCAGGTCAAAGCAATGTTTGTGTAAAATGGGAACCTTCTAAGTTTATCCATAAGAAAGATATGGACCAGACATGAATTATAATTTTTTTACTGTCTGTGCCCTTGAACTTGGACAATTGACCTTGGGTCAAAGTCATGACACACCCTTATGTCATAAGTAATCTTTGTGTAAACAAGAAAGTATCCAAGTTTATCAATAAGAATGATATGGACCAGGCACAAATTATGAAGTTTTTCCTTTCAGTGACATTAAACTTACACAAAGAACCTTGGGTCAAGGTCATGACACATCCTCAATACAATAAGCGATTTTTGTGTAAAACAGGAACTTACCATGTTTTTCCATAAGACAGATATGTACAAAACATGAATTATGAACTTGTTGCTTTTATAACCTTGAACTTGCATAGATAACATTGCATCAAGGTAATGATACACCCTTAGGTTATAAGGAATCTTTATGTGAAATAGGAACTAACCAGTTTACCCATAAGCAATATATGGACCATGCACATATTAAGAAATTTTCCTTTCAGTGACCTTGAACTTAAATAAACTTTGCTGAAGGTCATAACACACCAGGTCATAAACCCTCTTTGTGTGAAGTAGTAGATTCAAGTTAATCCAAAATAAAGATATGTGCCAAACATGAATTTTACAATTTTTCTTTTAGTGACCTTGAACATGCACAGATGACCTTGGGTCAAGGTCATGACACACCCTTAGGTCATGAGGAATCTTTTTGTAAAATGGGAACTTACCAAGTTAATCCATAAGAAAGATATGGAACGGACACAAATAATGAAATTTTTCTTCCAGTGACCTTGAACTTCCCCAAATGACCTTGAGTCAAGGTCATGACACACTCTTAGGTCATGAGCAATCTTTGTATGGAGTAGTAGATTCTAATGTTCCTCCGTAAGAAAGATATGGACCGTACATGTTTGCACAGCTAGACAGAGGGACGGACAGTTAGACAGATAGACAGACAAGCTGAATCCTATATACACCCCCCCCAAACTTCGTTTACAGGGGGTATAATGAGAAGTCGTGCCTGTTAAACACAAGACAACCTTATACTTATTCAAATGAAAATAAACCTTAACATCAGCAAGGCTTGTGAAAATGTAGTTTAATACAGCAACTTCATATTTCAAGTTTTATCTTATTTTACTATCAAAGACCAATCAACTGGTCAAATATCAATGCTCACTAAAAGTATCACAGATATAAACGTAAAACAAGAGTTTTCCATTGAAAATGTGTGTCTCAGGAGTCAGGAATGACATATCAAATTGTGACAGACAGATAGACTGATGGTCAGCTAGTCAGACTGACAGACAATGGAGAAGTGATCCCTAGGAGTCCCCTTGCTATGCAGGCGACACAACTAGGCACCATTACAGCATATCTTGTACCTGATTCTGAGACTGAATTTTTTCTTAAGTGTACAGTCAAATATTTTACAGAAATACTTTGCTAGAAATAATAATATATCGTATAAGTGGAAATTTTAGTGAGATGCAAATTTAGCGATTTCTACCAAAGTCTGGTATTTTATTTTTAGCCAGAAGTAATTTTAGCGATTTTAAAATGTTTACTAAAGAAGCTATTACAAATAATAAGACATTGATTTTTAGCAATATTCAATTTCAGCGATGTCAGCACCATCTCTAATAATGCCAAAATTAAATCCTCGCTAAAAATTCTACTTATACAGTATGTTCTTCAGAGTACATTTATGCACAATAAACAAGAAGTATGACACATTTGATTTTAGATATTATCTATTTTAACCAACTAGAGCTAGAGCAGTATAATCCAAGTGTTGTCCACAGACAGATGGACAAACAAACAGGGTGATTCCTATATCCCCCTTCCAAAAACTTTGATATCAAAATCTTAAACTTAGTAAGAAAATGTTTTTTAGTTCACTGCTTTAAGAGCCATATCAGAAATCTGATTCAAATTGTTCATGTTCCCTTCAGCTGTCAAGTCATTTTCTTCACAGTCAGTGTTAGACTTCTGCCTTTTCACCAATGGCATCAAGATACATAATCAAGGTCTTCCTCCTATGTAATGGACTATCTTCATGCTCTTGAGAATCCTGGCATTCAGATGACTTTCACAAGGTGTTTGGAAAAGTTGTCGTCTGAAGTTGATTCCACCTACAAAAGAAAGATACAAAATCAATCCAACTAACAACTTCATTTAAAACAAGTTCATTTTGACACAAATAATACTCATGCTGAGACAGTGTTTCACAGCCCTGAGCCAAAGTCACACCTTCAATGTCAAGGTCAAGGTAAAATTTGATGGAGTTTTCAGGTCTGTATTTCTATATGCCTCATGGAACAGCTTCATACTTGGCATACAATGCTCCTAATGATAAGGTGGTGTGCCATGACCCTAACTCAATGTCAAACTTCAATGCTAAGGTCACAGTAGACTTCAATGAAATTGTCTTATCTGAAATGCATTTCATACCTGCCTCAAAAGCACAGCTTACATGACACAAATGTGCCTCATGATATCAGTCTTTAACAACCTTTGACAGAAGACCAGGTGAGCAATATGGGCCCATTTTGGGCTTCTTGTCTGGGTTTAAAATATGAAGTTCATAGGTCAAATGGATTTAAGTTATTGAGTCACAATCCTTTCAAGTTTGAAGTTTCCAGGACATATAGCATTTGAGTTATCTCTCAACAAAGAAATGGATGAACAAAGTGATTACCGGTTCTCTTTGAGGCTGATGCTCAAAGTAGTTCTAAACAATTCAGTACATGTAAAAAATTCAGTACAAACCTCTATTTGTTCCATATGCTTTGAATCTGGTTGTACTTCATGGTTATTTGGTAGTTCACATAGCAGCTCATCATCATCATGATTCTCCTGAAAGTATTTCATATCTGTTTACAAATTTACATGACCCTACTGCATATAGTTGCTGATTCTTTATAATAAACAAGCTGATGCTTAAAGTAATTTAAAGCAAGATAAGTTTGTGAAACAGTATGCCCCCAGCGTCAACAAATATAGAAAAGCTAGTTTTAGCAAAAAGATCAAGGTCTAAAGGTTACTGATGTTGGTGTAATCTAAAAGACCTTAATTAGTGGATTATGTATACCAAATATGATCTCACAGTTCAAAAGTCATGGTAATTTAAAGGTTAAAGCTGACAACAGACAGACAGAAAGGACAAACAAAAATATGTTCATGCTCTTTGGGCATAATAATTCAGTACATGTAAAAATTTCAATACAAACCTTTATTTGTTCCACATTAATTGGATCTGCTTGTACTTCATGGTTATTTGGTAGTTCACATTGCAACTGATCATCATCATGATTCTCCTGAAAATATTTTA